TGCAGACAAAATATTGTTGGCCACGCGAGACGTGAGTTATAGCGTTTTTATAGAGCGACTGTTGAAATTAAGTGTATCGTAAAGTTATATGCAGAAAGAATAAACCAGTTTTATTTAAGAAAGGACTAAAGTTTCGTCGGAACGAATTTACGGAAAATTAACTAACGAACAGAGACGTAACAATATAATCATTTCTAATTAACGGTTCTAACAGTTTAACTAGAAACCTCACTAGTTCACGATTGTTTGTGCCAACTTCAAACACAACAGTCTAACAGGAGAACTATCTTTATGAACCTTGGGAGCTCCATCCATTAAATCCAGAATGAAAACTAACTGGTACTCTTTGATAATATTCATTATCAGGCAATAAATGATCCTTTTAAACGTCTAATAAATATCTTTATAATTTACCTTCTCTAGTTTCAGTTGGATCGTGATCCTGTTTCAGAATGTAATGAACCTATAAGTAGAGGACGATTTTAAAATCCTCGCCGAAACCAACAATGAACAAAAACGGTGAATAAAGGAAAAACCTCTTAATTACCGAAGTGGAACGAGCGAATGTGTGGATCGTTTATTGTTGAACCTTTCAGTGTTAGAAATATGTTAACTTGTAGTTAGAAAAAAAAACAAATAAAGACGGCAGAACAGAAGTTTGTTTGAGCAAAGCCACACTGGGCTATCTGTTGTGTCCACCGCGGGGAATCGAAGCCCGGACTTTTGCGTTATTAGTCCGTAAACTTACCGCTGACCCACCAAGAGAAAACCAATAGTTTCAGTTTAATAGTAAAGATTTTATTCTAGTTTTTTTACTGATTTTTTTTCAAGAATAACAACTTTACTTCAAGCATAAAGCACAAGACCTGTTTTACACGCTTACATTTTGTTTCCAAAAGCTTCTTTCAAAAATGATAGAATATTTAAATTTTTCTAAAGGTTTCATTGGATGAATGTACTGTATTACACATTATTCAAACGATCATCTTTAAAGTTTAATGGAGATTCGGTAAATACCTCAGCATTTATATTCTGAAAAACAGATAAAACATATATTTTATTTTTGTGATTTCTAAACCTTTCTTCAACAAAACACTTAAAATATATCGTATTTTTGATATCTCTGACACTATACATCTAAGCTCTTAAATGAAGTCGCAATAGCTGTGCATTTAATGTGTAAATTGTGCAAAGAAATAAATATGTTGAGTAAAGCAAAACATATAATGATAATTTTGAAAAATTTGTATGAAAGTAAACAAGTATGATACTAGAAAACAGCCACTGTTAGCCTTGTTTTTAATTATAAAGATTCACTTTGAAAAACCTTTTAGGATAATAACCAAATCTGAAAAAAATACACTCTTGATCTTGTTTACGTATAAAGATTCACTTCGAAAACTTTTTAGGATAATAACCAAATCTGTAAAAAAAGACACTCCTGATCTTGTTTACATATAAAGATTCACTTTGAAAATCTTTTAGGATAATAACCAAATCTGAAAAAAAGACACTCCTGATCTTGTTTACATATAAAGATTCACTTCGAAAACCTTTTAGGATAATAACCAAATCTGTAAAAAAAAGACACTCCTGATCTTGTTTACATATAAAGATTCACTTCGAAAACCTTTTAGGATAATAACCAAATCTGTAAAAAAAAGACACTCCTGATCTTGTTTACATATAAAGATTCACTTCGAAAACCTTTTAGGATAATAACCTTTACAAGAAAGTAAATTAAGATGATAAAACAAAACAGAGGAAACTAACCTTGTTTTTTATATAAACGTTAGCCTTATTTTTACAAAGTGCTTCAAGCGTTTGGCTGTACCCCTTCCAAGCAGCTTCGTGTAAAGCTGTGTTTCCGTGCTTTGTGAAAAATAAAAACAGATAATAAGTCACAAAAACATAAATATTCTCATTTCAAGTTCACATAGACCTTTAAACACATAAAATTTACTTTGATCATTGCACATTGTTGTAGCATTGTATACCGAAAAGTATATTGTTTTCTGGACAAATCATGAAGATCTAATACTCTGATGATAGCTGCAAGCTGTAATTTTTTACATTTTTCGCGATTTACATTTTACACCTGGTTGAACCGCTTAACTGTTATTCTTCTTACTTAGAATAAGGCAAATAGATAAGATAAAAACCAACATTTTAAACGTTTTTACTCTGACACTGAAGAAGCCAATATTGAGTGTTAAATAAACTACTTTCATTAAAAGAATAAAACAGAACTTTTTTAATCCGTAAAAAATTACCGCAAAAATATCTGTCAAATGAGCCTTGATTTTTCATTTCAGCAATTTTATATTTAACACTGTATAAAAATAATATCGCAATTTTTTAGCAGTATGATTTTCCTATCATCTTTATGTACTCCACGCCCATATACTACATGATGACTTATTTACGACTGGTATCACTGTTCAATAACATACACATCCAGAACGTTTAGCGATATTTTGAAGACCGACAGATGATTTTATCACTAAAATTATGAAGAATATAAAGATTTGTATTTACTGAAACACTTAAGTACGCAAAATTATTTAGTCCAAAGTCAGGGGTAAGCATACAATTCTCTACGTATTATGAAGAAGATGTTTGTTTGTAGTTAAGCACATAGCTACACAATGGGCTATCTGTGTTCTGCCCATCACGGGTATTGAAACCCGGTTTCTAGCACTGTAACTCCGCAGACATACCGCCGTGCCACTGGGGGGCTTTGAGGAAGAATTTGTTTGTTTGTTGAATTTATATTCGCCCTAGCTGTCCCTAACTCAGAAGTGATTGAATGGAGGGAAAGCTGATCAACACCATCCACCGCCAATTCTTGAGCTACACTAATCAAGTAGTGGGATTGACCGTCACATTATAACGCCTGACGGCTGAATGGGCGAGCATATTCGGTGATAGGATTGGAACCGGTGACTCACAGATTACGAGTCAAGTTCCCTAATAACCAAGCCACGCTAGGCCTTCAAGAAAGAAATACATTTTTGTGTTTAATATTTGGGTATGTTTTGGACTGAATCACACCTTAAACGACACAGGTTAGAGACTCCTAAGATTTAGGCATAACCATCCCTAATATAGAACTCATGACCAGATAGGGAGAGCAACCGGTCAACAGCACCCACCGCCTCTGAGGCTAGTCTTAATTGAATAGTAAGACCAACTGGTACAGCTATAAAACTCCCACAATTTAAAATGCAGAGAATAAGTGGCATGTCACAGCTCGAACCTCGGACCTTTTGATTCGTATCCTGGTATATTAACCAGAATGTTGTGCCTGCCCCTGTGTATATCTTTGCTATTGTGCAACCCCCAGTAGCATAGCGGTATGTCTGCGGACTTACAACGCTAGAAACCGGATTTCAATACCCGCGATGGGCAGAACACAGATAGCCCATTGCTTAGCTTTGTGCTTAGCTTCAAATAAACAAATCAAATATTGTGCATTTTTTTAACCGATACTTACCCTATCTGTACCCCCCCTCAAACGGCACACTTAATTCTCTGATAGATTAATAACATATTTGTCTTAAAATCCTCACCGTTCTCTCCACATATATCCATCTTGACATCTTGCAATGACAAGTTATTTTTGATCAGACACGTTTTTACTAATTTATTTTTTCACGAATTAAGCCTTACGTCAAGTGTCTGTATTTCACGCCCGGGTTTTAAATCTAATAACTCAGTTTGTTAAAAGTTAAAATCGAAAACTGGATTTCTTGGGAGCTTTAAAGGTAATCATGATGTAGCTTCCACGAATATGAACATTTATTTAATCGGTGGAAGTATTTATTTAAACTGACTGGTTTAACGGTCGTGAATAACTACACTATTTTACAATTGTATAGACTTAGGTAAAACCTAATTAAAACGTATATTAAGGAAACGACGTCATGTGAATTTCAATACAAACGTAGCATAGCACACTGGAAAACTACTTTATTATTTTCAATGACAGGTTTCACGACTCACTGTGTTTACTTATCTTCGGTTTCTAGGGCGGTAAAAAAACCTTAACAAATGTTTTACAAATTAATATCAATTTATTTCTCAGTTCAGTAGATAGATGGCAGCACTATACACGCTAGCTTCAACTGGACGAATAATTGATTGTCTGCTAACTTGCATCATAAATCTCAATGCTAATCCTATAATATCGTTTGGATATTCAAGTTTACTTTCAAAATCACGCAAAAAATATGGAAACTAAAATCTGAGAAAATCTGGTGCGGTCAACGTACTGTATTCATTATATTAAATATAACTACAATTATTAACCATAATTATCACATTGAATATTGAAAATATTTCAAGATATTTTAATACACGTGAAAACAATGAGAGCATCTTTGTCTGTTTGTTTGGTTTGAGTTTCGCGCAAAGCAGCAGAAGGGCTATGTGCGCTAGCCATCCCTAATTTATGGATGATAGACTAGAGTGAAGGCAGCTAGCTACTCAACACCATTCACCGCCAACTCTTGGGCTACTTTTTAACCAATGAATACTGGGATGGACCGTAATGTTACAACACCCCCACGACTGAAAGGGCGAGCATATTCGGTGATGGAGATTCGTGTTTGTTAAGCGCAAAGCCACACAGTGAGGTATCTGTGCTGTTCCCACCACGGGTATCTAAACCAAGTTTTTAGCATTTTAAAATTTCAGACTTGCCGCTGAGCCACTAGTGTGTAGGGGGGGAGGGTACAAGAGAATGTCAAGTGCGAAGTTATTACTCTTGAATCCAGATGGATTCTTCCTTCATGTATGTTCATTAAATCTAATAATCTAATGAATAATTATAAAAAAATTTGCTAATGTAATTCTTTTTACTTTTATCTATAACAAAAAAAGCAAATAATTTAATTTCTATCAAAGCAATTTCAAAAAAACATAAGTACTAAAAGAAACATCTGGAAATTCCAGCTTGCATAATTACATATCAACTTGTGAAAATCTACTGAAAATAGAAACTAATTTAAATACACACAAATCCAACTTTGTTACTTGTTATACGCTAGAAATATGCTTCATAGACTGCCGTTCTCAACTCTCGAGCTTTAGTAGAGCTGAGTCTGTTTGTTGTGGATTTCGCGCAAAGCTACACAAGGGCTATCTGCGCTAGCCGTCCCTAATTTAGCAGTGTAAGACTAGAGGGAAGGCAGCTAGTCATCATCACCCACCGCCAACTCTTGGGCTACTCTTTTACCAACGAATAGTGGGATTGACTGTCACATTATAACGCCCCTACGGCTGAAAGGGTGTGTCGGGGAATCGAACCTGCGACCCGCAGATTGCGAGTCGAGCGCCCTAACCACCTGGCCATGTTGGGCCCAGAGCTGAGTCGATGGAAGCTGATCTAGCTTGAAACTTAAGCTCTCGGTCGATCATTATGGGAAAGATTTTATGTCGATCCTGTAGCATCTATGAAGCAAGAAACACACTATTGCAATGTTTTCAAACACATCCTTGTTTGCTCGTATGTTTAAGCGCAGAGTTGCATAATGGGCTATCTGCGCAGTGCCAACCGCAGGGATCGATCTCTGAATTTTAGCATGATAAGCCCACATATCTGCAACTGGGTCATCGGGAAAAATTAAAAACTTGAAAAGATTCGAGTGTTCGTAACGCACAATTAAGAGTTTTCGACATAGCTGAATAATTACATACAGCTACACTTCATAGCTTAAAACTTATTTTCTAGTTTATTTAACGTTCCACCATTACGGTTTCGTCAGGAGAAAAATACTGTACTTCAGCAAAGCTGAACTTATAAGCCGAGCTTTGTTGAAATACATGTTCTCCTGATGTAGCCATAACGGTGAAACGTTCAGAAAATTAGAATAATGTTTGTTTTCTAAAGTACATTCGTAATTCATTATTTAAACATGTAAACTGTTTGGATTTTTCTTTAATACAAATCCATTTAAAATACCAATATATTTATATTAAAAAGTGTTTTGATAACATATTTCATTAATAGTTCATCCCAACGTGTAATACTTATTCCTTCGGAATTTCTTCAGTTCTTGTTAAACGCCGCACAGGTACAGAGGTTCAGCTATTTCATAAGTGCTGCGTTTGGAAAAAAAAATATATATTTTATTGCCCGAAGCCCAATCTTAGAATACCATGTACAGTAGGTATACCGGCTCGTCAAGGACGCAGAAAGGCCACGTAATCAGATCGTAACGACTAGCTGCGCGAAACAACGCTACCATTGGCTCATTGCAAATCAAAATATTTGGTTTATGAAAAAACAAGCTGTCTAGACAATACCAGAATTGTTCGTTTTTCAACTCAACAAGGCGTTTTCACAAACTACATGAATTATGAAACATGCTTCGACTAATAAGCTAGCAATGTCCGTCAAAAAAAAATAATGAAATAATTGTATATTAATTGTAGACTCTAAAAGTTTCCGGGCAGTAACTTTACTTCTTAACTACGTGTCTCACTAATTGATTTGCACATTTACCATTGACATTTTGTTTTAAAATGATCGCAAAACATACAAGTTTACGTTTTAGACTTAGAAGTATTTATTTACCAAATAAACCACACAGATAATGTACGTACTCATCAAGTGAACCCTAAAAGGTATTATTCAACATGACAATTGCTACTCGATAGAAATTACTGTTATATACTATTGAAACGACCCCTATTATAAATGAGATGGTAAAACACTTTGAGACTAATAATGGCTGGAGACGACTTGAATGGGTAATGAAGAAAAACTTTAA